CGACCCCACGGAGCGGGGTTCCCGGGGCCGGTACTGGCAGAGAGGGACCCGGCGATGCCTTTCGGCCGACGCGATTTACACACGGCTTTATCGAGGGCTCAAGCGCTGAATACAGAACACACTCTATTTGGCTTTCAGTCAATTAAGCTTTAAGCTGTCAGCAAACAAGACTTTTAAGTTAATTTTGAATCACCACAAATCAAGTTGAAGGTTGTGAAAGGGCACGCTCACATGCCAGCATGAAAAAAGGCAGTTTAATTGCCTCTGAATAGCTATTATATGCTGCAATTGGCCTATTGAATCTTAGATGATCTATTTATTTATCAAAGTGCAAAGACTGGTAAAAGAATGAAATGTATGAACTTTAATCGTCTTCCCTCTTGTGTAAGTAGGTAAAATTAAAATGTTTGCACGTAAAAAGTATGATTGAAATTATAATCTTTTGTAAGTTCGATATGTTTGCATTGTATTTTATTTTTGGATAGTTACAGCTGTCCAAACTACAGCTGAATTGTGAAAACAATTAATTTCCAATCCAATAAGGTATTGTTTTTTTTTTTTTTAAACTTCCATCAGGTTTTTCATATACTATGTAGATAACTCATGTTTTGAGCCTGCTAGCCTGAAAACCTATCTAGAAGAAAGTATAGAAAAATGCTATAAAACGCTATAAAATCAGCTCCTATTAAGATGTGTTACAAAAAACCACTACAAATTTCATACCAGACCTCTGATTTCATGAAATACACTGTTGTTTAGAATAAAATGACATTAGACAACACCCACAGGAATAGGTTTTCATCACTCTGCCTACAAAAACTGCCTACAAAAACTGCAACACAAACTAAGGAAATACCATTTTTAAAACGTATCAATAGAACGGTGGGGACCCTCTGAAAGGATGACCCCAAGAAACGCAGTCTACATACCGCTGGGGTTACAGAAAGCGGTCTGACAACACGAGAGGCTTACGGTCGCAGGGGCGAGGAGACCGCCGGATCCACGCAGACCTTCTCTCTTCCTACGCGACTCAAAGCAGACCCTAAGGCGCCAGGGAGTTGAGAGAGCTGTTCTGCACCCACACAGTAAACTCTGCCTATATTTGGTTCTTTTAATGAGCTATATGTAATTATAAACGAAACTGTGGCTTGACATTTTAAACCTTATTTAACATCTATGTCATTTTTCACCAGCGAGTCCAAAAACGTAAATTAAAAAAGCGCAGAGGTTTCAGGTCTTTGCTTTACATCACTACTTCATTGCCTCAGGAATTAGTATAACCTCAGGGCAAGAGCATTTAGATATCTAGGTAATAAGCACAGCAATTTCAGAATTATTACTGCTGTTGATGAGGTAAATTCATATTCTGCAGTGAACTTACTGGATTACAGATGAAAAACAGTGCACTTGGTGCACAGAACAGAAGACGGTGATCTCAAACTACAGATGTCCAGTAAACTTAAAACAAACAAAAAAAACACCTCCCCAGATTTCAGCAGTTGCTTCCAAGACTAAGGGAAACCTTAAAGAAGTTCTACATTATATTTAACAATATATTGGTCATCAAGTGAATGGTTTATGTAATAAAAGCCAGCACAAGCTTCTGGGAAAGTAATTTCCACATGGAAATTTCTAGACTCCAGTAGTTCATATGGTGACATTTGTCAGAACCGTCTTCCACAGGCAAATGCTTCATCGATGCAAGAAAATACTGCTGGAAGCCCTGGATACCATGCACCCCCACAGCGGAACCGCTTCCTAGAGCATTCGGGCCATGATTAAAGCTAACTTATCCCAAGACACTTAGAAGAAAAACATGACAATATAGCCGCCTTCTTTTCAAACTGCTGTAAAGAAGCTGGCTAAGAACGGTACCCAAGCTGGTGGCCTTGCTGCGTCCCAAACGCGTTGCCCAGCAATGACAGAAAACAGAAACGGTTTAGACGCTCACGTGCCTCAACCGTCAGAGGAAACACCCTACAGACATAAGCGTATTCCTGCCACACACTTTAACGCTGTCACACTATCATTACAACCCAAAAAAACCCCAAAGTATGAGACTTCTGAAGTTTTTGGTTGCAATGCTAACCAAACCCGCAACCTAACAGAATAAAAAACCCAACAAAATATGAGGACTCTCAAGAATACTAAAAAAAAAAAAAAAAAAGCATTTTAATACATTACTTTTATAACCTATGCCTCTTTAAAGCTCCACTTCTACACCTGAAGAGATTCTTCTACATAATCTTCTTTTGACTATAATAATTGTTCAAAAGACTTTGAGTTAAAGAAAACACCTTGCTGAAGCATTTCTGCCTAACGTCGTTGAGAAGAGACGAGCAGCCAGAACAGCACAATTAAGGTACAAATGTCTTTCTAAGACAAAGAGAACTAACTTTTCCCAAGTTAATACAATTTTTCGGGGTAACTGTGGCACAAAGGGAAACTGCTCCGCGCTGGAAGAAGACATCTGCCACCAAAACAACAAAAGAACTTCAGACAAGAGTCCCAGGTCGATTTTCACAAAGTACTGACACACACGATGATGCAGACTTCCCACTCACACACAAAATACAACGGTGTGTGGACTGGTACTACCCAGATATACCATGCGAAGCTTAGCTATATATCATCAAATAAGTATAGGTACCAGAAAGTACACAAAACTAAATGAAAAGAGTTATCTTTTCAAATACAAAAGTAAGCATTTATAGACGAATGCAAGTTAAAGGCTGCTTCTTGTGCTACACTAAATAAATATTTTAAAAAAAAATAAAAATCAGTCTTTATTCCAAACAGCACTGTCTGCCAATATGGCTGGCACATAACACACTGGTTTCACTGAAATACGTGGTTGGTGAGGTGACTATTTTAACATTTGAGAAGTTACAGGCTGCCGTGATATAAGTTGTGGCCTCTAACTCACAGTGTAAATATATCGGTATTACCTCTAGCTATAGTCCTCAACTCCAGACAACCTGCAGCAGACGGGGAACTTCTATTTATTTATTTTAAAATCTACAGTCATTTGACAAGCGTCAGCTATCTCTAAATGAACGCCAACGCTAGAACCGAGCACAAGCCGGCCCGGTTCGCACCTGAGCCCGCTGGGTCCGGCAGTGCCCCGCACAGCCCAGAGCTCGCGACTCCACAACTGCTCTGCACTCCTCCAGTAATTAGAAACCACCTCGCCAGCCCCCAAACAAACCGGTTTTCTTGAATTAGTACCTCCTTAACGACCACGTCGCACTCTCCCGACGCCGACAGATGCCATTCAGGCAGATGTCAAGCCCATAACCCCTCGCAGAGAGCAGGGCTCTTAATGGCGTTTGCTGGGCGACATCTGCCTGACTGGCAGACGCCCGTATCTTTACAAATACACGCAGCTTTGTTGAAAATCCCCGTCTTTTCACATGAATTATGTTCCCTTAAAGAAAAAAAAAGGGACAGAATTTTACCCAGCATTTCATGCTTCCTTGTAGACAGCTCATTACAAACTGTAGGAACCTAGATTCTCAATTAGCTTGGTATATGATTATCTATTAGACACATTTCTCAAGGTACTTCAGAATTCCTGTTAGCACACACGAAAACTCCATTAAAATTAACTTTTACATGTTAAATAGCCTGTGTCTGTGAACTCACATGCTATTTTTAATTGTAACAGAAAAGACCAAGTGACAGAGATGAGTCAGTATGTGTTTTATCTAGTTCCTTCATTAGCATCTGAAAGGGATGAAGTTTGCTTTAGATGGTAAAACCTCACTTTTCTGGTGTTTTACACAATAGTCAGGGCATGATATGGTAGATGGTTTTCCAATAAGTGATTAAATACAAATTAAAAGCTGCTTTGATCTCTCGATGGTGGGCTCTGCAGATACAAAAATGAATGTGACAGGGTTTGTGGAAGGTGCTCAGGTTCAGTCTAACCTACTTAAAAGAAGCCCAGCAGGAACTTTGCCCCGAGACTGACTCCTTTGGCACCCTCATTGTGCGGAACAGTGGGCCACTGCCTTGTTCGCTGGGGATGGCAGATGGTTGCATTTGTTGTGCACCTCCACTCCACCCCAAATTTTCCGTGGAAGTCTGGCTGTAACGCAGGGACGCAATGGGCAACGGCACCTGTCGCTCCCCGCTTCAAAGAAGTCCAGCTCCAGCAGTAAGGAAGAGAATGAAACTACCAAAGTAGTCCAGAAGCTCAGTGCATTATAAAAAATTTAGCAAAAAGTCACATACTGTGGTGATTTTTTAAGAGATGACTGTCCCTAACTTTCAGTTTGCAGTTTGTTGAAATATTTTCTTGTGTTACAGTGTAAGCCTTTGAGTAAAAAATTGTAGTAACACACAGAGAAAAACAATACAACACGTAGGAAGTAATTTAAAACTACTTCAAGTAGATAGATGGTACCAAAATCAGAAAGTCTAGACAGCGTGGGTAAAATAAGAAGCGCTCACGATGTAAGAAAATGCTGGAAGTTAAAACGTCTGCAAATGCATCCATGTACCGCTGTGCTTCGACAGAGGAATCACAAGAAACACAACCCCTGCCCCTACACGGTTGAAGCTTTAGCACGGACAAATATCGTCACTAATTACAGAGCTATTCTTACCTTTAGAGTAAGGGTTAACCTGGCAATATTTCTTGCTTCTGACTTTGCCAGTTAAAGGATACCTACTGCTTCAAACCCACTACTCGTTATGCACAAAAATAGATTTGTCAATACTGACAGAAGAGATTCAAAAGAATAAATTTTCAAGTTCCCGAACATTTATCAGTAGCATTCCTAGATTTTATTTTCTGTCCAAACCTTTGTATGTGCACTACTGTAACTCTCCCGTACAGACACCGTTATTTCTGACAGAATGCGCGTGTTGGACCTACGAGTCTCCTTGACCGAGACTCCTTTGGGTTACACAGCTAAGCACAGAGTATTTTTAAAGCATCTACTCACTGCCTCACCCTGCCACAAGACTTTCTCAGACAGATCCTCCTCTCTCTGTGCACGGGATCGCCAAGGGCCGAGGAAAAGGCTGACCAGCATTTCTTCCCATTCCCTGCACTAACGTGCCACGGCAGCACGCAGGGGAAGAAGGACCGGACCGAGCAGTAAGGCTTGTACCTCTGTAGCTAAAGCAGCCTTTGGAACGGCAGATCCTCAGGAATAAATTGCATTTCGATTCGATTCCCCACCACCCTAGGCTGCAGCTGACTATGCTATGGCACAGCGTTTCCTAAACCAAGAACTGTTTACGTCGGCTCAAGTAGAACTGAATGAAAAATGTATCAGTTACTGTTTTTATTTAGGGAAATAGCAAACCAGAATAATTGGTGCAATAAGAGTATTTCGGTTTGTTCCCGGTCAGGCCACCGGTAGGAGTGTGACCATTTCCGAAGCAAGCCAGCTGCAGCCAGCTGTGGGTGCCCTGTTTCTGTTCCTCGGGGCCGCGTTACCTCCGAGGAGGAGCAGGCACAGACGGGCACAGCAGCCTGCGCCTTCCATTTCCCACCCCCCGACACGGTATTTTCACATAGCTGTTCAAAACAAAGCGTAGAAAACCCATAAACTGTTTCCTGGTTAGTAGCAGACAACAGATTTTGTAATCAAACCAATCAGGGGGCACAGAATCTCTTCGCTAAGGTCAGAACGACATGCCAAGGACATCCAAAAAATGAGTATTTAATTAGAACCAGGCTGGGTCTGTGCTCTGCAAGTGTCGCTGTCAATACTACGTGAGTAAGGTCATCGTGACAAGAAGCGATCGCCAGGGAACAATTCCACACTGGGCAATGCTGAAGAGGCTGGCGGTACTGTCTCCGACAGAGCTGACACTGGAATGAGCTCTTCGTGGCAAGAGTCACCTTTCATTGTGCGTGCCACCGTCAGCAACAAGGTCCCGACCGAAAGCCGGCACTCCTACGACAGCCATACAATACTCCCAATACAGACCAGATTGCCCCCAAGCTGTTATTTCCGTTACTGAGCTAATATCGCACAGCTCAAACACTTCTGCAACCCAAAGTTACTTCCCTCAAGTTCTTCATTTCCAAAACCGCTCCAGACGGTAAACTGGGTGGATTTTTAAAGACGCTCTATTTAGGCTATTCTGTCTTTTTCTCTGTAAGTAAATGAAGCTGTTGGCAGAGGCAGAGACGCACTACCGCGCTGCCTTTTCACGGCCTCCGGGACATTTCACCGTTTATCCCTGTTACGTGCTCAGCCATGCCCTGGTTTTGCTCCCCTACAGATGCTGCTGCACTTCTGTTAAAGCCTAAAGACAAATAGCTGTATTTCCAAACACGTAACAGTACGACACTGCCATTTTGGGTTTGTTCTTAAAGGATTTTGTTCTTCCTTGCTTACTGGAAAAACAGATTTGCATTTCTAAAATAAAAAGTTAGATGATATCTTGGAGCCTAAAATTACACTGAAAATACAAATAGATTACAAAATTTTTAAAAAATTAAATTTTGAAAAAATCACCATAAACTGCAAAATTTTGACCACTGAAGCCAGTAGATTTTATGCCCAACTACGAAAAAAAATGCTGTTGTCCACAGGTGTATTAACAGAAAAAATAGTAAAATTTATGAATTAGCAAAACATTTGCTCTATTTTAGTTATCCAGAAAAGCCTTTACAGGCATTAAAGATAGCAATACATACTACTACTGCACTGGAAGGCTATTCTTGCATGTATTTTCAGTGCATTTGAAGATAGACCCAATTTTCTAAATAACTCCTGCGTGTGTGTTTAAATGCTAAAGAGACGCTGTGGTGTATTACCGAAGTATTTTCCAGAAACAGGCTTCAGTGCCTTTCAGCCAGCTAAGCTAAAATGCTTTAATCTCTAAAAGGACTGATGTGAAAGTCATCCTTTTAAAAAATTATTTGGATAAATGAAAGCGGTTGGTGAATCTCAATTTGAACTGAAAAAAAAAAAATCCTGTTGACCATTGCACACCAGCATTACTTTGTGCAGTCAATCAATAAATATTAGCCTTAATAGGACCACTATAGAAGCAGCTGCATCGTATTTTGAAGATAAGTTTAAGTTTAAATTGTCTCAAAACTTTTTTGTGTGTGTTCTACCAAGACAAAACTAATAGTATTCAATTGTAGACTGAAATGTCATCTCTACTCAGGGTACTTTTTTAAAGCTCAACCGCTTTTAAATAAGAGAAACGCTTTCTCTGTAAATAAAATTGTAACTGCCGTCAGACTCTAGCAACATAGTGAATAGCTTTCTGAAAACCTCAAAACTCAGGCTAGCACAGAGCAAGTAATTTGGAACTTACTCCATTAAAGCAGCCCATCTTCAATCTCTTTCCCGTGCTAAGAACAGACATAGCACACAGCTGTTTATAAACCTGCTATTGCTAAAGCGTCCAGAAAAAGAACCAGGAGGTCTCCAAGAGACATGGAGCCACGGAGACGGTCTACATTCCTGAGGGAAACCCTGATCTGATGTACGTACTGGGGAAATCTGTGTTTCGGCGTATGCTGAGCCCATTCATTTATTCATTTATATTTTTCCAAGGGTCCATCCTCTATTCATTAGTGTTTCTGGACAAGTCCTGCATTGTTCCCCAGCTGCTAAAGACTCTCCCAGCATCCTACCTCCTTTTGGTTATTTCCAGTTAGCCTTTTACCCCCAACGTGCATTAATGCTCCCTGCTCTTCCACCAGCAGTAACCGTGTCCTGGGCACCTTCAGAGACCAGACTCAGAACTAGGTCTGTCACACTAACCATCTCCAGGTCAACAGAAATAACTAGTTTTCTTGTAGACTTCCACAAAAATCTATACAAAGCTCAATCAAAAAAAAAAAAAAGATACCTTTCACGCTCTATAACCTACAGCACATTGTGCTGAAATACATACCGTAATCATTCAAATTCCAAGGGTATTGATATTGAGCATATAAATATTTTCCTTATGACACTGCATAAATAAGCATGAAAAAAGAATCAAAAGATGATTGCTTACAATTAAGTGCATATTTTTGTATGGTCTGTCATTTCAGAGTATGCCTTGATGGACCACAACTCTTGACTTTACCTGCCAGTCAACCATAAAGTAGAGCGACAGTAAAGAGCTACACGAGAGAGGACTGCAGAACTGAAACACACTTAAATTCTCCGTGCGACAAACTAGCAGTGCTTGCTTGCTAGAAAAACCTCAATTCAATCAAGCAGACTGATGGTAGCATGCTTCGATCAGATCTTTCACCAAGGTACATAATTTAAGGGATAACTCTAGTCATATAAATCAAGCTAGTCGGTAGTAGTTACAGTTAAGCAGGTATTTAGTTCTTGTCTATAGCTCCTTCTACTTTCAAATAACTTCACTTCTAATAGCACACACTGCTTCATAAGCAGCCTTAGAATTTCATTTTCTCATGAAAAATCCGCTATTTGGCAGAAAGCCTTCCATCTTCTCTGCACAGTGCCTAGTACGTCAAAACCTAACAAATTTGTTATATTCATGCTCACCTGCCGTGATGTCATCATCAACCAGATCATGCTCTTCTTCCTGGACTTTCGCTTCTGTTCCCAATGAATCTGGGCTTGCACTACCGGTTTGAATGGCTTCCGTGGTTACTCCAGCTGAAAAACAACCCAACGCCCACAGAAGTCAGCGATTTTGGTAGGTAATACCCATAGATCAGAGGAAAAAAAAAAAAGTAATTATTGTTTGATATTCTGAACCATGCAATGTAACTCTATGAAACTTAGGTAAAGCAAAGAGCAACTACTTTCTAGCTTCCCTTCATACTGCACGCAGACTTTTCACAAACCTATCCTTTAAAAAAACCAAACCAACCAATCAACCATCTTTTCCACACTGTAAATATCTCTTACGTTTTCTTCTTTTTCTGCCATCTTCTAGCATCATTAAAAATATTAGCTGCACATATTACACACTAACGACTTATTTAGCTACCAAATACTGAGTTCCAGCAGAACTTCCCTTACGTCTCCTCTCAACACTTCACCCCTCGTGCCAAAAAAAGCACTGTCTTCCCAGGCTACCTTCAGAGCACGTTAACTCAGCTGGCTCATTCCATGCCGTTCATGCCAGACGCATCTGTTAGTTCCTGATAGCAACTACGCGATGAACACCAAATCACACCACGCGATTAAAGTTCTAATTCACCGGTTTATACCCTGCCCAGTCATGAACTTTAATTATTCGCTGTACGAGCCTTACCACAATTCAATCAGGGCATTACACAAAGCAGCGTTTTGCTGAGGGTGAAAAGAACAGCCTCGCAAGTAGTCTTCCCAAAGAGCTTTAGGAAAGCTCGAAAGCAGCCTGACGGGATGCCCTGGCAAGCTTGCTTTCCTCCCAGTACGTCCCCAACGTCACCTGTCCCATCACAGATCGCTGCTTTACCGATTGCGGCACTAGGTCTGCAATCCGCAGGGGCAACAAGTCGCCGTGTACGCAAGGGCCACGGCCCTTTGTCGGCACCAGCCAAACCTGAACAGGAAACGAAGCCTCTGCAAAGGACGCTGCGCGAGGCAGGCGGCTCTCGCTGACCACTGCAAGCAACGGCTTGTCTGCCACCAGGTTTGGGAATCCACTCCTGACAGCCATTTCACTCCAGGTCATCTTGAAACCGGTTCAGAAACTTTAAGATTCTCATGAGCATTCCAGATTTCATTTTTTTAGTACTGTTTTTAAATACTAAGTATTCACAGCAAAGTAATCACTCAGAGTGACCGTCTGATGGTCATTTCTAACCTTATTCTGACATAACCTCTTTATAAAAAGAAACTTGCACCTTTTCATAACCTTCTTAGCATCCTTCCCGTTGCGTCAACGTGTATAGAAACCAGTGACAACAAACCCACAACCGGACTGGAGCACTCAATAGCGCAGCACTTCTCTGAGCATGCTGGTGCAGAGACCGCACGCGATTCCAAATTGCACGTGAACCTTACTCGGGACGCTTTTAGAAACAAGGAGCTCGCTGTTACGGTGCGGCTGTCGCAGCCCATGGCCGTCACTCCACCAGCGTCCACGTGGACGCCAGGATTCCAGCACCACTTCCCCAAAATACTTTTGGGATTCACTCTCGGGCACCGACTGTTTTCTAATGCTACCATTGATTTGTGTATGCCCACTGGAGTCGGCCAGCATGTTGAGGAGGAGAGGGGCGGTTATTTTTTAAGCACCGCTTTACATTTTGCATTGCAGTTCGTACAAGGAGTTGCTAACCTCTGCAGGCACAGCAAGCATCTAGCTGTTCCCTAAAGATCACCTCCGTAGCCTCAACTTCTTTAATTTCTCTCCAGAGGAGGGTGAAGAGTTTGCATGCCTGTTAAAAACCGTAGTATGAAGGCTCTGACCGATGAGCTGGTTTTCTGTATTAGATGTGCTACACCTTTCCAAAGAGCTTAGTAAGACTAGTTGTAATGCAACGGAAGGAAACAAGTGCCTTTGTGTGAGTTGACTCTAAGTACAATGTATAAAAATTTTTTAAAAGTTTATTACAATTTTATACAATTAAAAGAAAAACATAAGTAAAAAATCTGTTTAATCAGAATGATTAAACATTCTCTCCAAACCCACTGAATGGATAAAGCCAAAAGTGGAGAAAAACCAGCCACCATGCAAATATGTCAGGCAATAAATTATTATTTCCTCTCCATGAAAATCCAGTAAGATGGAACATGTATTTCTGGACACAAGTGCTTTCTACATAATTCACCAAAAAAGTCTTAGAAGCACATCTTAGAAACGAAAAGATCATAAAACCCCAAATGTATTAAAAATAAGCCAGTCGACATATTAGAAAATATTGGAAAATGAAGATATACTTGTATTAGAAACTTACGCCATTATTACAATTTACTATTTACTGCAGCATCCTAAAGTCATTATTTATTTAATACATTAGAATGTTGCAGCAAAATTATTTGCCTTACTTTGTGCTCTTTTAAGTCAAACCTTGCACAAGCAAGATGATCAACCACATATATAAATAGCAAAGTCTTTGGGGTCCAATCGAACTACCCTTACTCAATGAAAACTCCCATTTAAATCGATGGAAGTTTAATTAAGTTTTACTCAATTAATCTGGCTTTAAATAAAACTTTCTAACAGAAATATAAGCCTACCAGAAACACATTCATAAAACCTGATGACGGCATGTTCATTATTATGGACTTTTCATATTTATTTTGCTTTCCAGCGGTAACAGGGGTTATTATTCGAAGCAGAATAGAGAGACACAATTTAAGAATATCTGTTTGAATGTCTTTAATTTCGTGCTGCCACATGCAAGGGTTTCACTTAAAACGAAACAGTAATGCAAGAGAACATTTCCCCGCACAAACTGGGGTTCAGCAACACGGGAAGCAAGAGAAGCGCCCGTCGGCAATTTCTGGGCGGAACGTAGCGAAAGGGGGTTTCAGCAAAGACTGGCCAGCCCTGCCCGTGCCCCGGCAGCCTGCCTCGCATTAATTCCCTCCGCACCACGCCGATCGATCCCGGGCAGCTCCCAGCCGCCCCGCGCGCTGCCTGTCTGCCGGCTCCATCCGCATCCCACACGCGCACAAAGGCCAGGCCGAGGTAACCTTTTGCTTTCCGTTAAAGCCATAGCAGCTGCTTTTCTACCTGCGGGAACATCACGGGTTTCAAAATCTATCTGTCCCTCCAGGGTTCGGCAGACAGACCCAGCACCGAGAGCTTGCAGGCATCCCACTGCACAGAGCCCCGGAACGATGCCTTCGGCGCTGTGAGACGATGTTATGCTGGCCAAGGTTAAATAAATAAACAAAATAGAAACATAATATTCAGCGAAGGAATCCCTTTAAAAAGGGAATTTAATTTGCAGACTCCGTTTGACACTGAAGACAGCCTTTGCTCTTAAAAATAAGCAGGTGGAAAAAGGCAGCAGCATTTGTCCCTTTTTGAACTTCCCCTGGAAAGACGGCCTCGTGGCAAATGCCCCACGGACCACGGGGCACTGCAGAAACAATCCTCCGCTGTGAAAATGCGGAGCAGACAAGGCCATAGCAAATATTTACAGTCGCATGACATAAGCTTAGTAGATACAAGATGAAGCTGTGAAAGCTTAACTGTTTTCCTCCCTGTGGGAGCCTGAAAAATACCAACACCTGCAACATCTCTCATCGGTTTAACTCACAGCATCGCTTACGCACCCCTTCCCGTTTGATGTGGGGTCAACAAGCCGCCGTGCCAATCCTGGATTTGAAGGCCCAAACAAAACAAAGATTTATTGTCCCCCCTACAAGGCGTCGTGCAACGAAGCCTCGCGCGTCCGACCGCCCGCACCGCAAACGGGCAGCTGTAGAAGGGAGCAGGTCGGCGCGGTAACAGCCCGGAGGAGGTGGTCCCCGCAGGGCGAGCTGCTGGCGGAAGAGACAGTGAGATCTGCTGGGCTTTGTGCCCGCTCCTCCACCCCACCGTCGACACGGGGACAAGAATCTCTCTTGCATCAGCTAAAAGATTATTAAAAGATAACCCTGCGCAAGTTCGCCTGTCTTTCAAGTCTCCTGAGCTCATTTTGTGAAGACGCTGGGAGACGTGCCAGCTGCTTGATCCGTACGAGTAAGGTCACGCCCCAGAACTGCTGCTGGATCTCAGCACCGAATATACAACAGATTCCACCTCTGGTTGCTAGTACCACACACCCGACCCGTTCCAGAGCCAAACGTGTATGACAAAGTACCTTATCTCAGCAGCAAGCTTCTATTAGCTATTACCACTTGTTTTAATTGAAACAAACCCGTTAACGTGCAAGAGCAGTGCTATTTCTACACCACGCGTCCAAGAACTATTGCAGAGCAGTAACATACGCTGCACACAAAAACATGCTGATAATAACCTATGCTCCTAGATCAAGAGGCAAGATTGGGAGAAGTGGAGGATGAAGGGATCAAAACAGTAGTTCTTTATCTTTCATAGATGCTCTCCTTACCTTTCTAGAATAAAACTACACTTTTCAAAAGTCAATTGCATCCATTTCAGCCACCCCTTCAATTCCTCCCCAGACCTTTAAAAACAGTGTCATTTTTTTTAATCATGTCTTAAAAAAATACACACTTTACTCTTCACCCACAACAGCAACATTCGTAGCTCCTTATTTTGTTTCTCCTTTCTGATATTGTTGTTGTTATTATTATTCAAGAGTGTTAGCACCTTTGTGTATGTTCATACAGACAATAACACTGCTCAATGCCTTCTCAGCCCTGTCGTTCAGGAGAACCACAAACTCTGTAACCTTAATTCACAGAGTTTTCAACACTGTCACTACAAAAAAAATATAACTCCAATTTACTAGCCATGACCTGTTTGAAAGGTTTTCAATATCAAGCTTTCACAATATCGAACATTTACATTCTAGTCAGTCAGCCATGCTCAGCTGATTTCTCTCTATTTTCTTCCTGTGTTTTAAAACTTTCTTGTTCCGATAGATAAGCACATCCTAATTCAGCATTAAAACAAATGATGCTTTGATTTGCTAATGACTGACAGACTGCTGTACGTATACTTGAATTGAATGCATACGAAATACTCGAGTTTTTTCTTAACCAGTCAGCCCCTGACTGTTGCTATAAAACCGCATGCCAGGCTTGTAACTCGAGCACAAGCACGGGCACAAGAGGCAGAACAAAATACCGTGCTTCCACCTGATGCACATGTAAAACAGAACTGCACGCTCTTAAACTTTCAAACATAATTAAGTAGTGAGGAGTAGCAGAAACAGCAAATTATTGGAACTAGTACGAATTACCGGTTGTTTTCAAGTACGTTTAGTAGAAGTTCTTTTGGAAAGAGTCAGCTGGCTAAAGCAGGCACTACGGAGTGGTTTAGGTCGCTCCCCAACACAGGTACATCCATAACCTTCCACCCAACAAGGTCGCTCCGTATCACTCCAGAGAAAAGAAATTAGTAATCATCAACAGTTGCTATAGCAGCTACGCCTGAGAGTAAAGGACAACTAGAGCCGTATCCTACCAGCTGAGTAGAACCGACCTCAGAAGATGATCAATTAAAAAAATACATCCTAATATACAAAATGGCAGAAACAGCCATCAATAGGAACCAAGGCTCTCTGGCATGTACACACCACTCGTTATTCGCTGCTTGGCTGCACATCGAACTGCGCAACGCCCTCCCTGTGATAAGGCAAACGCGACGTGGCTAAAGGCTGTAATTAACAGCAGCTTAGTCTTACCAACAAATTCTTGCCGTCGCTTTAAAGTACTGTGTTCCATGTAATTTATGCATTCAATTTGGATTTAATAAGATTATGACGCATGTCTCAAAAATCAATTGGTATTTAATAGAGATCTTTCTCTGAAAAGGAACCACATTCTTCAGTGGAAAAGGAATCTCGTTTTAAGAAAGATGAACACCTGTAACTTAAAAGCAAACATTCTCATCCATGAAATAGAAATATTTACTGGTTTGTATATAAGGCAGATGCATTTGCACATCGTTCTATAAAGGCAAGTTTTGAGATGGATAATTGGAGCACCTTACGATGCTGATAGATCTTCCAGGAATATATTCTTAGGAGTCTCTACAACCTCTGCTTTAATAACAATGAATAAAGTAAAAATAGCTATTTTGGAGAAAAATGCAACAGATTAAATAGTTGTCAGTAGCTATTTAATTTATTTGGAGAAAGAATATTAGATCACTGAGTATTACATGACTATACATGTACATGATTACAGCCAGAACCCTAATATTTTGGTAAACGTGTTTGCATGTAGTAATTCCGGTCACACAAAAGACCACATGCTCCGGATAATATTAAATTCTGCTAAGACCCTTTTTTGCCCATGAGCCAATGGTTCCAAACAAGGATCAGAATGTAAATCATTCAGAAACGTAAGTGACTTTCACAGGTTGCAGGAAAAGTATTTAAAAGAAGTTCCCTGTATTGCTGTCTCTGCAAGCAGAACATTTTAATGGGCAGCATTTTATCAAAAGGGACCAGCTTATATTTCAGATCACTCCAGTTAGCGCCATAATCAAACAAAACTTCAATCTGTTTCACCTTACAGTTTCATGATTTTTTTTTTTTAATTTGCACTAGTTTAGTGCATTTGATTTCTCTAGTTAACCTCCCTCCTCTAATAAAAAAACAAACAGGGGCAGGAAGATGTTAGAGAACAATTGTTATGAAAAACAATATTTTCTCTTCTAAGTACATTAACTAACTGAAATACTGTTACAGAAGTGTATTTATAGCAGTATTTTAAGTTGTCTTGCAGCAAGGAAAGGGTGACCGTGCTAACACAAAGGACGTCAGGACAAGGATAGGAATGGGACAGAGAAACCCAGACTCCCAGAGGAGTAGATGGGTCAAAAGGAGTTGGTAGCAGCACACATAACTGCGGTGCTTTGCATTTTAAACAGCAAAGCTGAATCAGGCCAGGAGGTGAGCGTGAACAGCCAGTGACCACCAAAGGACCGCGCAGAGGCCCCTGTGAAATGACTGTTACGTGCGTGTGAAGAGTTACAAGAGAGAGGAAAAGGGAACAGCTCTCCGTCTCGGCCGGACTTCTGACACAGTTATGGTGCAGTATGTCTTGGCCTAACGCTGCCGGAGACCTTTTCGCTGTTGCTCCTGCACTCTTCTTGCTCTTTGTAAAACCAGATTAAGCTTCTAGTGCCCTAAAGCCCATTAACCTTTCATTTTAGGCTTTTACGAATTTGATGAGAGAAGAAGAAGATGGAAGAGATGTTCTACCTTTCAGTATCAAGGGAAGTACTGCAACCTCATGCTCATCTGATTAACCATCACCACAAATTACTGCTTAACAAATCCTTGTTAACTATGCTACCGTCTTTACGCACCAGCTCCGTGCAGCACCAGGTATCCAATGGATTGGGCAGGATGAACAACAAATGTTTAACAGCCACCAATGGACAGATACTTGGGACGCCAAAGGATCCCTTTATAACAATTTCTACCATCTGATTAGATGTTCCTTGAAAAAGAATGTCAGTGTTTTACCACTAGTACCTTGTAATTTGTCCTTGAAACCTCCACACCACAGCCTGGCCTCTCGACACAGGGACAGCCTGTGCAAAAGACACTCCCATCCCAATGAGATGTATGGAAGCATTCAAATTACCTAATCCACATTAGTGAGCTTAAGTGATTTCACAATTGTGAAATTACTTTGAAAATGGCAAGAAACTTTCCTATGTAACCCTAGACTTCTCCCCTAGAATTTTCCCCTAGATTGGCAGTACCGTTTGTAATTTTCTGTACAAAATGCCTTTTTTCCTTTTATCCAGCAACCAAGTTATTTTCAGGTTTAACACAGCATTACTTACGTGATATAACGCTGTCAATGTACTGCGGTAAATAAGGAGCCCACGCATCAATGGTTTCTTTCCGACCTGCCTGCTCGATTCTTCGCAGTTCTGCTAGCAATAAGGCCTGGGCAGCTTCTCTTACCTGTAAAGTCAATAGGAACATCATACAAACTCAAATATCAAGTATTTATCAGTATGCTTTCACTATAATTTAGCAAGAGCAAAAAGCACCACTTAAAGAAAAAACACTCCTACAGAAAACTCAACTAAAGCTTGTAGAACAGCCATGGTTTTTCCCACCCCTCTCCACCTTCAACACCGAAGCAGACCTGCCGTGACTATGACAACTCTTAACAGGACACAGCGAGGAGGTGCTGTCCCATGAGAAAGCCAGGGGGTGAAGGTCACAATTCGGTCCCTGGCAGGAGGGCAGCGCACAGACCAACCTGCTGTCCCACCTCCTCCTGCCCTCCGCTGCCGCGCCTGCCCCGGCACAGGCAGCGGGACCCACCGGGGCCGGCTCCCGTCCCGCAAAGGGAACGGCAAGACGGGTTTCTCACCCAAGGGAATAAGGCTGAACCCTACGCTTGCGCTGATGCATCGCAAGGCCACCACAGCTCTAGTTTTCTAGAAGTGATTTGTGATCACCCTTCTCTACAGCACCTCCAAAGTTGGGTCCATAATTCCAAATGTGCAATCAGTAAAGTTTTTCTAAGTGTTGTGAATGGTGCGGTATAAAAGGAAAACAACAACAACAACAAAAAAAATAACTTTAAAATATATTTTCACATAAGATCTACTCATTTACCATATATTATGGAAGACTGAACAATGAAAGCAAAGGAAAATATATAAAAAAGGTTTCCCAAAGTTTAAAAAAATATCTGGTTTTTACACCAACAAATAGAAAATATTTTCTTGTTCTATTTGTCCCTGGTTTTGGTTGGGACATGGTTAATTTTCTTCCCAGCAGCGGGTATAGTGCTGTGGTTTGGATTTGGGATGAGAACTATGTTGATAACACACTGATGCTTTTAGTGTAAGCATTACTTGGCAACGACTAAGTCAAGGACTTTTCAGCTTCCCACGTTCTGCCAGCGAGGGGGTGCACAAGGAGCGGGCAGGGGACACGGCCAGGACAGCTGACCCAAGTGGCCAAAGGGATGTTCCATACCATATGGCATCGTGCTCCATATACAACTGGGGGAATCACTGCTCAGGGACTGGGCTGGACATCGGTCAGTGGGTGGTGAGCAATTGCACTGCACATCACTCCTTTTGTATATTCGTTTATTATTTTCTCTTCCTTTGTTGTCCTATTAAACTGTCTTTATCTCAACCCACAAGTTTTACTTTTTTTCCCCTGATTCTCCTCCCCATTCCACTGGGGGGGAAGGAGTGAGCAAGCTGCCTGGTGCCACTCAGTTGCTGGCTGGGGTTAAACCATGGCAGTCCCCCATTAATATCACTTGTTCCACCTAAAGAGCTCATAAACACACGTTATTTTTGGTCTAAAAGTTTTAACGCACAAGGAAATTAAGTGATTTGATCGCAGTAAAATAAAAAATTGTGGACAAAGTGAATATAAATGCACTACCCTGACACTTACGGATATCCAGTAACTAGACTTCCGTTGCTTACAAATTGTAACGAGTTTCAAAGTAATTACGCTCTCAGGAAGCCATCTCTCAGTATATCCTACCTAGCAGGAGAACAGGCAATCAGGTAGCAAAACCCCATACTCCCATCTACGTTACAGGACCGCTGAGGACCTACAGCCTGGCTCTGTTACTCCTTCCCCACTTGGAAAGCTGCGCAGTCAACACATTTTTTGCCTCTACAGCACAGGTGTAGTGTTAAGGTCCTCTAGTCATTTATCAAACACTTGGGTGACAAACCGTTTACTGGCTACAGTATATACGCTCCAAAAAATAAGGCAACTCAGCAGTCTCTTGAAGAACATAGGGTGTGTGTGGGTTATTCCTAGTGAGATTCTTAATGGAATCATGAAAGTTTTTAATCCAATAATTTCTTTAAAAAAGTACAGCATCCAGAAGGTAAAAAAAGCATATATTTGTGTGTGTATACACACACGCGATTGCTTTTTCAATATTTTGCCAAGTTATCTGGAAAATTAACTTACTATATCTGAAATAAAAACTGCAGAAACTTGTGTCAGAAAAGAATTATAATTTGTGGAGTTTTTCTTTATATTAAGGGAAAACGTGATGAGTAAAAAGACAACATAAACCCCCCAAACCCCATCAGTACAAAATCGCTACTCAAATCACCTCCAAGCATCGATCCTGCCACCTGCGAGCCAGCATCTCCAGAAGAGGAGGTCTGAATTTGTCCAGTCCCAGCAGGTCGGGGAGCATTACACAGTGCATAGCAGCCAGCTGGCTCCAGCCTGGTAAAACACATCACAACAGGAAGGTAAACATCATAAACACCGAAGCAATTTGAAGTTCAAAATGCATTCAAGCAAGTTTACATTGGCCACTGGCCTGGTATGCAGTAGACCTTCAGGAGAAGGTGGCACAAAGAGGAAGAGAGAAAAAATAGAGCCAATTTTGCAGCAGAACCCCAGAAGAGCTTGTTCTGCCGTGGGAACCCAGGGCTCACCCCATCTTTGCTGATTCCAGCCAGCCTCAGAGCAGGCTACGCAGTGCACGTGCTTTCTGCATCGGACAGGAATGAGCTCTTCCAGGCACAAGTCATGCCTCGTGAACTAGCTGGTCAGGTCCCAAACACATGCAAGGGTCAAACGAGACATCAGCAGAAGCGTGCCTCTAATCAGGACCGATTAAACACCAACATCCCTCTTCCTCCCCGTTCCCTCTCAAAAAGACTTCAGTATTTAGTCACAGGCTTGGATTTTAAACTCGCAGCCTTAAGAATATACTCAACAGACATACTAAATACAAAAATAAAGTCACTAAAATATTATGGTCAATTTTTTTGCAAAAGCATGAGCCATGGTTCCGAGTTCAAGATTTAGAAGCCCTGTTCAAACCATAATCAGCATTACTTAGCATGTTACTCACTGTCCTACGTGCAAGTGTGGTATAATTCAATTACAGAAAACTCAGCATACAAATTACCAAAAGATTACATAGAATTTTCGGTCCCTTTTTCAAAGGTATGCAAATAGGTACAAGTGCGTGTTTGTCTGCTCTCCTTATCTCTCCATCTCAATCTTATTTCAATGTGCTTGCTTCAGGTGCAGTCCTGCTACAAGCCTGCGGGATGGGGGAGTTAAAACTAGTAAAGATAAGCATATCAAGCTCAAACAACGCAGCTTGTAAAAACGCTTGTAAAGGACTCTAGGCAAAAGAATTCTTTCAGTATTATGCTCTACACTGACTTGAGAAATTGGAGAAATACTTCAGGTGAGCATATAGATCTGTATTTTTAAATTGTCAGCAATACTGAGCATAAAAATCTAAGTATTTTAACTAATAAAGCTCCTCATGGTGCTACAAGAAAAGAAATCATTATGTCAATTTTTCTTCAAGAAAAATGGATTAAAAAGAGGAATTTCCAATTTAAGAGAGCACCATTTCTACTACTTGAGATGCATGAAGACAGGAATATATAGCTTAGTAATAAGGGCATAAAAATTCTGATTTAAAGCAACTTGCCTACAGGGATAGAAGGGGGGTTGGTTTGTTTGTTTGTGCCAATCTTTTTGGCAGAAAGACATTCTTCATAATGTGGATAAATATTTATTAGGAAAAAAATCATCCCCAACACAAACCCAAGTAGTTTAGATAAACACTAAGTTTTCATAAGCACCAAAAGTAAATTTTAAGTGCCATGAAACTGATTGTGTTTGTCTCCCTTTAAAAGGAGCAGTACATTTTCAGCCTTTCAGTTTGTAAGGCAGCCTACGGAGGCTGGTGCTCACCCCCTCGGGAGAGGGGGCCCTGTCCCATGGCCAGCCCAGCAGGTCTGGGAAGGCTCTAGACGGGGCTGGACCTCTGTACCGGGAAGTGGCACTCGCCCCCGCAGCGTCCTGCCGCTCCGCTCCCTTGTGCGCTACCCATGGGTGAAGGCACCTACTTAAACAGGGCTGAGAATTTTTTGGTCAAAAGACAACAGCAAACCCAAACGAGAGCCAAAATGTCATCTCTGATACGCTGAGCTGAACGTACCGACAGTCCAAGACACATAAACCGGGTCTGCTCACCCTCTACCAGCATTACCGGCAAAGCGTACAAAAATAACTCGCTGCCTCTTACAAAGAAAAAATTCCTACGTAGATCAAATTAAAGTCAGGTCGTAACAACGATAAGGGACATTAGTCGAAAGTAAAAGACAAATAGATAGAAAAGTGAGGAAAGAATACCTTCATTGACTAAGAAACAGGTATGTAAAGTAGGAGCAGTGTCAGAGCCAGAGTGACCAGCTTCAGTGCTAGAAGAAACAGCAGGAGCAACTTGCAGAGGAAAGAAGAAGAAATAAAGAGAAAAAATAGGAAAGTGAGGATAGCAGCTTCTGAAAAACAGATTAGTATCACTAAAGAATGAAAAACAAAACTGGAGGAAACTGTGATAATATTAAACTTAAAAAAAATTCTAGGTTTTACAAGAAGTGCAATGCCAGTGAGAGGAAGACATGCAGCTGCAGAGAAACACAGATACGCTAACAGAAACTCACATCTTTGGAAAAGACAGAGTACCCGTAAATAAAACAACTGCAAATCTGCAATCTTTAGATAGCTACATTTGGGTTGACAGCACGGTTAATGCTGAATTTTAAAACCAGGAGTTTTGCTGCTGCTTCTTGTGCTTTTCCCATACTTAGGTAGATTTGGAATTTGCCCCCCTCATTAAAAACCCCAGAAATAACCCCTTTTCAACCCGGGCTGCCCCATCTGTCGCTCTAAAACGTCACACAATGTATTACTGATGGCTAGTTTTAATGTAGGTTCATTTTAAACGCGTCCCCATTCAAATAATTTTAAACCTATACCAAAGAAAGGACTAAGACTCTAAAGCAGAAGCATACAAAGCGTAAGACTACAGGCACATACAGAAGAGCGCAGTTGGAGCAGGTTACTCAGAACAGCACCCGTGACATTTATTTCACAGACTGCATCTTTTCTCGGTGCCAACGTAATTTCAAAGCAGTTCTGAACATTATACTTCCACTAACGCTTCATGACTTAATATTACCACATGAAAAGATGCGCAGACCTTATGGTATACACATGCTACAACCCGAGGTCAACGTGGAGATTTAGAGGTCACTATCTGACACTTCCTTCCTATAGGGAAATTACCATATGTCATGCACAAGCATCTTCAAATTAATCCCCCTCTTTTATTCCGTTGCAGAACAACAATGGGTTCAAGCTCCTGAACCGATTAAGCATTGTCTTCCGAATGGTCTGTTTGCTTTTCATGCAGTGAACTTCTTTTGTCACTGTGGGACATCTGCATCAAAACTACTTTTTCCATACTTTCCATACAAATGCATCACGATGGCACGTGGACAGTGACAGGACGACTACCGTAAATCACTGCGTGACAGTAAAACCTTTTTTTATACATCTACCGAAAAAAAAGCTACATATTCTCTGAAAAAGATTGTTTGTAAAAACGCAAACCCACCCCACGCTGACACAGAAGTCTGACTCAGAAATTTCTTTCTTTTTTTTTTTTGCCTCGTTTTGTTGTAGTTGTCAGCTCTTTTCCAACGTCCGCGATTACAACAGTCGCTGTAATGGCAGCAGCTGGCCCAGCAGCCGAGTAGCACAGAGCTGTGCTCATCTCGGGACAAATACAGGTCAAATTGATGGAGATCAAGTGTGTCATAAAATGCATTAATTGTACCTCTAATTGATTTTTAAGAACAATAGCACTAGAAATGTAGGAGTAGCAAGATACTGCAAGTAGTGCACAATGGGATGTAAAGGTAAGGCAAGCAAGACATGCCACCAGACAGAGAAGATGACGACAATTTAGGAACAGGAGCATTTTGCTAAATTTTTGACAGCACACAATTTCATATTTATCAATTGTTTCTCATGAAGTTATAAATATTTCCACTGGGTAACCGAAGTATGTCTCTCCCCAAAATTAGCAAACCTATTTCAAAGAAAAATTACATAGTTGTCATTTGGGAAAGAAAAGCCATAACAGAACTGTATCTTTAAAAACAAAACGAGTATGTTTTTTTCTCTCATTCGATTTGCCATATAGACACCATCTCTGAGAAATCCTGACCTTTCAAATAATTATCTTTCAAGGAGAAGTGAATGGCTGTAAAAAAAACCAAAAACAAAAACCCCCCAAAACCAAAATAGCCCCACATGATGAGACAAGAGCCCTGATTTTTTTTTTTATTTCTGCTTTTTGTTACTGACTGCTAAGTCTCTATTTATGTAGCACCTTTGATCATGAAACAAAGCTTAACACATCCCACTCCCGAAATCGATTTTCTCTTTACAACCAAAGATCACAGTAAATAAATATTTATATTTAGGAAAAGAATAAATACACACAAGTGTTGCTGATGGGCAAGCTTCTTTCTCAGATATAAACATCCCCCTTTTTTTTCTGCATGTGAGTGAAGAAAATCACCCAGTTGATGTACAAGCTACCTGTTGCGCTTACTAGCTCTCAAGAGCAGTTCCACAGTTTAAAGATTTGAAGATGTACATATATCTTTAATGTACAGCTTTAAAGATTGTACATTGTTGTAAATACCACAGTGACAAAGTATTTGTTTTCTGCAAAATACAATCATTATTTTACAAGTTGCAAGTTTCTCTGTATTTGTGTAGCTTGTAAAGTCAAAGTTTCAATAATTAACAGGTAAAAGTGAAAAATAAAGGATAATTACAATTTTCAAAGAAAATATTAAAAAAGTCCTGAGCATATCTGCTTTATAGATTAGTTAAAAAAGTACCCGAAGGCGTTATGGAAAAAGAGAAAGCCCTTTCCTCTTCTGCCCTACGGCATATGCATACAGCTGGGCTCACATCCACAAAATCCCAAGCACTGTACCAAGAGCAACGATGCGTACCCCTCCCCTCTTCGCTTCATTGTACAGCACAACGTGCACGACAAAGGTTACAAACGCACATTCTCCTCAGGCCATAAGCGGCCTTCGACTGGTCCCACGCGGACTTTATTGCCCCATTATTTACCCTGGGGGGTGAATACCGCTCCTCCTCCCTCGGGCACCGCCGGCTGCCGCCCCAAGAGTCGCCCCGCGCTCTTCCCAACTTCACTCGCTCCTTAGTTCTGAGCGCAAGGCAGAACTGGCCACATCACGGTGGTTTACACTTCCCTTACTGTCAGCATTAAGAGTAGCAGCTCACTTGCCCCAGACAGCAGCTATGCTTTAGAGAGCGAGCAGGAAGGCGCTCCTCCTCCTCCTCGTCCGCAGTCCCAGCAGGACTGTTTCCCTGTGCTCCTGCTGCCCTGAGGAAGCTCTAGTCCCAGCTCTACTCCAGTGGAACATTCATGTCTAATCTTGTGTACATCTTTCTTTTCCACCACATCGTGTTCTACTTCCTGCACTTAACCCTTATCCCTGTGTAGGAAAGACACAAGGCAGATTATTCGTGGATGCTTCAGTATCACCCACTGCCGCCTTTCCTAACTGCAAGCGACAAAAATACCAGCAGCAGCAGTAGTGTTAAAATAGCTTCTTTCTCCTCCATACAAAGGAGAGGAAATGCGTACACACTACTTAGATGTGTCTACCTTGATGTTTTAGCTTGTAACACAAATGTTTTTGCACTGGTCTGCACAGCCCTTAGTTACAGACTTTGAACTCCTTCCTATCACCTCAACGCCACAGTGTTTGGCAGCACATAAATATGCAAAAATTCACCATCAGGGAATGACTTCATGACAGTATCAGCATCCTATACTGATTCTTATAAAGGTCTTAGTCATTAAAATCTTTATCTAGAATATTACACTACTTTTTCCTCCCACACAGAAGCCAGCAATATTTTTATCAATTAATAGTAAGGTGATAACTTCAGTGTCAAGAGCTGAAATGACATTTCAAATCGTTCCAAAGTGACTTTTACCTTGCTTAATTTGTCCTTGGGCTGCATGGCTTGAAATCGAAGGAGGTGCCTTCGCTTTTGACATCTCAGGGGTGCCCGGCCTAGGTGGCCTAAACACAAAATGTACATGAAGGGGAAGAAGAGTAGGGAAGAAAAGGGGGGGGGGGGAAGGAGAGGTTATTTGCTAAAGATACTGTGACTACAGAAACTTTGAAAAGCAATCCCATAAAAACCAGTCAGTTTGACAGAAAAAATAAAGAGTGTCTCATTTACAATTCCTAGGTAAGCTTATTTTTTGGTGATAAAAAGTTCATCTGTATGTTTTGATTTATGTAGAATTTGACCTACTCATTACAGAAACCCTTTAAAAACAATAAGCACTAAAGAGAAGGACAAAAGGGGCCTCTCGGACCTATCGTGCCTATATTAATACAACTCCACGTGCTATTAACGTTGTAAGTTACGTAACTCCATTCAAAGCAATATAGTTAGTTTGGCATAAAAATATACTACATTCAAGAAAGAAGAAATACACTCAGTTCCACTTAGATACTAAAGGTTTTTCATAGTCATTAAAAACATCGAGCCTCACAGTAAAATTCAACAAAGTAAAACGCTGCATTAAAATAGAGACTCTGAAAGAAAGTTACAAGTTCAAGTGAATATTTGCTGTACCTGGTCGGACCTTTCTTCATGTGGTCTCCAATAAAAGTGGCGTTGGTCATACTCATCAGCGTGTTGGCCAGCGAGATAACAGACAGGAGATGCTGAGTGGTGACGGCACGCGATACTCCGTACGTCCCCTTTCCCAAGCCTTCGGTAATGGACATCTTCCTTCCCAACTCCACACTATCATAGGACAGCTTGCTGACGGGCTGATTATAGCCAGGGAGCATCAGGGACATGTGGCCTCCCCTGGACAGGAGCCCAAAGGACACTGAACAGTGGGGCTTAAGCATCCCAAGACGATCAAGGCAAAGCTCATCTAGAACAGAATTCAGGCCCCAGGCATGAAGACAGGACATAAAAAGCTTTGCTGTATCCATGGTTAGATTATATTCTAACAAAGTTAATGGCTTAGATTTGCTAGAGCGATATTCTGGGTCGCCGTCTTCTCTTCTCTGTCTTATCGATTCTTCATCCTCATCTTCATCATCAAGAAGATGCTCTTTTATATTCTCTTTGATTGTTTCCTTGACCTGCTGGAAGAGGACGGCTGCTCGTTTACCAGTCAGAAAGGAGCCTCCTTTGTCAGAGCCGCCAGAGGCTTTCTGTAGGTTCTCCGGAGAAACGAGCGCAGTGTTGGGTCTGGAGGCCTCCTCGGTCAGCAGCTGAATGATCAGGGCTTCTACGTCGAAGAAGAGCACGTGGATATCTGGATCTGTTAAGTTTGTCTTTATAGCTTGAACCATCAGGGAGTTATGGGAATATTTAGGTAAATTCCCCTGAAAGAAAGAAAACAAAGAAAAAAATTTTGAAGTTTTAATTGTATTACTTAACGCTTTTCACAAAGCGAATTCATAAATTAAGGAAGCTGTGGATGATCAAAGTTTGAAAACTCACAGGGTATAAAACACGTTATGATAAACGTTATGAAACTATCAGTGAAGAATTTTGCAGCACTTTTCACAATATCAGACTTGCGGTCAAGTCCCCTAAAATACAGAAATTTCACTTGGAGGAGTTTATCAGATCAATAGAGCTCTCTAGATAAGACAGAAGTTTGCATTTTTTTCTCCCGAGTTCTAAAAGATAATAGTTATACTCCAAGGAACAATAAAATTTCAGTATTTTGTTATTAAACTTAAAATACATTAAATTACATTTCATATATTTGGCTACTGAAACATAGCATCAATTTATGCCACTGGAAAATAAGCTACTAATAAATTCATTCAGAATTATTGTTCCAGTGTACGAACCTGGTTTTGAAACATGCATATTATTTGAATTCTCAAGGTTCTCATTCACACTGATGTGTCTCTCGAAGTACTCTGCTTTTCCCGTGGCTGTCAGTTACTGTATATCCCTGAAGAGTGTAAGATGGCTTTTTACAGGAAAAAAGCCTTCAGAGGAAAAACCGTTTGACAGTTTTACATCAGCTTTGTTTGTGGACACCAACGTGTCCGAAAGAGGCTCTGTACCCTGACCTGCTGCGGGGGCAGCTGATGATCCAGCCACAGCTTCTTTGCGATTCATTTCGGAACGCTGCCTTGGAGCAACTCAGGAATAACCTCTCCCCTCGACCGCTGCACAGCAAGAGGCCCAGGGGAAAACAGAGTAAGAAACTGCTCCTTCAATCCTATCGAAACGTAACACACACAAAGTGTATTTCTCTAAAAGCAATCCACTCTGTTAGTCTTATCTCATATTGTAATCTTCATTTTTCTACTGCACTAACACTTTATGTAATTTGCAGGCTCTTAATGTAAGGCTGCTAATATTTCTCTGACTTAGAATGAATGCCCACGTATATTTTACTGTACGCTGTTGAAGCAGAGAAGAGAGAGTTCTCCTGAGAGAGAACTCACTAGTTCTTGCTCACTTTCAGAGGATGATTCTCAACAAATATACATAAATATTTTACATTATCCCAATGCACTGGTTTTGTAACAAACCAACCAACCAGATACAAAAAGCACACACACACACAGATATTCAAAACACATCAAGGGACTCTCCAACAATGACATGCAGACCTGGCAAAATCTTCAATACCATCTGCTATTCCACTAGAATTCAATCATTTTTAATTTCTGGCTTTCCTAAATTAAAATTCATTTCACTTATACAACAAAGTTAAGGCACTACCATAAGGAAAATTCACATTTGTCACAAGGATTAAGAAAAAAAAATAATAAATTGAACAGAGACACCCTCCCGGCTCCCTGTTCTTATATTTCTCGGAGAAGCAGCAGCGCAGGCTAGTTCACCGTGCCAGACAGGCAGCCAGAGCCTAACACAATCAGCACTGGAGCCAAATTCCGCTCCTTTTCCTGTGGTCAATTCTGAGACTAAATAAACTATGCTTATTACATGAATTTGCCATGAGAAGCAAATAATGGAGAATTGAAACCAGAATAGAAAGAATTAAATGTCAATAAAAAACAGCCACAAATTATTTTCTACAATGCACTGATTTATTCACGTATTCCTTATTTATTTAAAACAAGCCAGTTATTTTTTCAGAATGTAACGCAGGTAACTTTTTATGCAATGCTCTCTGGTAACAGTCACAATGGTAAAGTTAAAAGCAACAATAACCCCAAAATATTTTAGCTGTGAATGATCGTTGACCTCAGGTATAGAGCACACCTTGCTGTGCATCACGCCTCTGTAGGTACCTATACCTTCATTAGACGTGAGGAACCTGCACGTAAAACACGTACGTTCGCACAGCACGGACAAGTGCAACGTTCACACTGAGGCAGGCGAACAGTCGCAGCGGACGCGGCAGGAAGAGCAGCACACGTCTGTCTGCAGAAGCACGACGGTGCTGTGCTAAGGAACGCTCTCTAAGCGGCATTTCTTTTCCAAAGAGAGCGGAAGAGCAGGCGGCACAATAAATACGGAATGGGATGGGGCTGGGAGCGGGGCCGTGCCGCTCTCTGCTGGTCACAGCCCAGACTGACAGAACCTTTTCCCAAAGGGAGAACACGAGCTCGCTCTTTCGACTCAGGCAATGTTTTCAAACGGCATTGACAGACTAAAGGAATTTAATACCCTTCTACTCTGATGGGTCTTCATTAGGAAACAGGTCCGATGAACGGCAGCATACGGAATCGCCAATCAGAGTAAACGTAGGCGATTCTGCGGCTGTGTCCTGCCGAGGTTGGCGGCCCCTCTAACGCAACCCCTGCCCAAGGCAGCATCCACTACAGCAAGACGCTCGGGGCGAGGAAACCCTCTTACAGGCTTCTCCAGTATGTGACTCTAAGGATATTTTTCCCAGTTTCCTTCAAGATAATTTTGCACTTCCTTCTATTAATCTTTAACAGAAAGATAAAAATTTAAGTCAGACATCATATTCCTTCTGTGACAAAGTTCATAATGCCCTCACAAGGCCAGGACTTACCTTTTCTCTGTATTTGGCCAACACAAAAGTGCACACCACAAAGCCCAAGAGAACGAACGCGCTTCCTTCGAGCTCTGCACTGACATGCCATGGAGCTCACCAGCTAAACTACGGCCGGCCTATTTCTAAAATTCACCGTTTGCTGCTTTGTTCTGTCTCTACTGTCTCTGCAATGTGATGCTGTTACCTGCCTGTCAGTTTTCAAAACGGTCAATCCAAATCCATCAGACTGAGTAACAGTCAGGCACATTAAAACTAATGGGACACTCAGCACTAACTCTTGTACCATGCTATCCTCCATGCTGAAGTTCCTTACACCTTTTATGCTGTACTAGCTGTTCTGGAGATACATGCCATGTTGTATTCTAATCGCTCTTCAGAACAATAAAATTAATGCTAAAAATATAAAAATTACTCTTTATACAATTTGAAATCCAAGTTCTTTCTTATTGCAAGAAACCAATTCAGAAAGAGAGCTCATTACTAGTTGTTCAAAAAGGAACTTCCCCACATCTCAAAATATGTAAGGTGCTTCCATCCAGCGTATGCAGTAACAACCAGGACGGAGAAAAACCATCCTCTGACTGCGGAGGCTGATGTGCAGACTCACCGTCCAGCTACCACTCCAACACTTGCACAACTCGTAGCATTTTGTGGTATTACCAGCAGTTACTTACTGCTCCGATTGGTAAAGTAGCCTGTTGTTGTACTCGGTAACATCCACGTAAATTGTAAAGTTGTGTTTCTACACGAGCACACGTAAAGATGCCGTGGGTTGCGCGCGCTCTCTGTACATAGACGTACAGCGCTCTGAACAGTTCATGAATGCTTTTAACAAGTTACTACAGACAGTTTCGTTTGAATTTGTCACTTAAGTCATAAAACAGAATTTAAAAAGTCCTTAAACATTAAACATTGAGATATTTAGGGACCAGCTAAGCCCATTAATATCTTCTAGCACTAAACACTTAAAATATTTCTCAAACTGTAATTAATTTTCAGCATTTAAGTCACTTTGGCTCCATTTATACCTATTTGTACATATATTTTAGTAATACTTTTTCTGAACTGTCACACAGCAACAATTACCAGAATAAAATAGAAGTCAAGCTCTAGCTCCACCTTTAGCAAGGTCTGCAGGAATGTATAAAGCACATCCAATACGGGGTGAAAGAGGGGAAAACAGATCAATGCTGAGTCCATTCCTCAAAGTCAGCGTAAAATGAAAAGCGGGGGGATTTGCTTCTGATGGATACAGATCACAGGCGGGTTTACTGGAGTACCCATCAATACTACAAATTAACAGAATGCATACAATTGACCAAAGATTCCAGATTTTATGAAATATTGCTAAATCCAGATTTTTAAATAAACTCAAACAGAAAAAACACAGTAGAAAGCACACTGACGTGGAAGGTGGTATCATGAACAGCAACATAAATTGGGGAACAATGTCCAGAGGTATGTGGAAGGGATTGTGTTGGTTGACATCAAAAAAGGTATCACCACCCATCTAGAAAATGGTAAGTTTACTTGGTGCATAACCTCTGTTCTTAGTGAACCTACAGAAAAAGACAGTGAAAGCAGTACAGAGCTATGGACATGAAGAGGAAGTTTAAAAGCATTAGACTCCAGCAAGGAAAATCACTACCATGAAAGCACAACACAGAAAAGACATAAGTGAAGTGAGTTTTGAAAGCGTAACTCTAGATACCACCACCTGCATTGGAAACTGCATGACGACGTTGAAGCAAGCTGATACTTTTTGTTCAGGGAAACTGAACTCCTAGGACTGACCCAAGGCCAGAAAAGCTAGGTCAGGGCTTTCCATTAAAATTTCAGAGAGCTTTGGATGAGAACCTTCCAGTTACAACCATGAAGACTCCCCATATTTCATTCACTTATTTAGGGGAAAAAGTGTTTCAGGTATTGCATGAAAACCAGACAAACCAAAACACAACTCACCTTGTCAGATGCTTCGGAAGCGAGTAAGTTAGTGGCAAGAGTCTGTAGTTTCTGATGCGCCACGTTCTTCAGAGCAGCCAAGCTACGCCTAGTCATGGCCTGCTTCAGGTTGACGGCGGGGTGGCTTAGGGAATCCACAGCTGCTGGGACTGCCTCATCGCAGGCGTTCAGGATTTCCACTGCCGTTATTCCCATCACACACCTGTCCAGCGCACCTGCAAACATTTGAAAAGCATGAGTTTAAGCAGAAACAATTCAGAATGTTCAAAACATCACCAGTACAACAATGGGCAAAAAGAATTTACATGGGAGGGTGCCACGCATAAGGCTTTCCATTGTGTTAACAGCCCTTTTTGAGAACTGATATTCCTAAAGGGATGGGATTTTCCCAAGTTTCCATGAAGCTGAAGTGTGTAAAGAAAAACCACATTAACAAAAATCAAGACAAGTTTTCAAACCCCTACAATGTGATTCTGTACCGACCAGAGAGCGGCGACTGCAGTTGCTCAGCATTTTTAGTGGAAGGTTGATTTCAAGCATTTTTAATTCTCTCTCCCACCCAACTACCTGTGTGGATTAAGTTTTCCATGTCAGGTATCAGGTTCTTCTTTTGCTTCCTAGAGCTTCAATGAAAACCAATTCTCATCTAGTTTTCACAATAAGCTGAAAATGATATTCAGACATTATTGCAGGTTTGTAAGGGTTTAAGTGAGTTAAGGGGTTAAAGGTGATGACATGCTGCACATATTTTGATGCATTTTTTCCCCTCACTTTCTCCCTTTCAAATATCATAAGGCTTTCTACAACAAAGCTGTGCTTATTTTATGCCTTGTTGCCCATTCTGTTAAGGTTCACGTTTAGTTCCTTCTAAGCTAAGCATTAGCCCCTTTTTAAAAAAAAAACCCACACCAAACACAACAAAACCCCCAAACACTGTCTTCACTCTGCAGATGAAGAAACTGTTGTAGATTGAAGGCGCTGCACTTCTACAGCTCTGAAGAAGATTGCTGAGGAAGCACAGACACTAATAAAGTGAGAGGACACTGGAAGTACAGCCAACGTTTTAACTAGTCTCTCTAAAGATAACAAGAAAATACGTAGGGGAAAGATAGACACCACAAGCTGTGCTTCTCCAAGAGCAAATGAGTTATTCCAAATACTAACATTTGTATTTGAGAAAAGTGCACATAATTGACAAATTTGGGGAATATGTGGAGTTTTAAATTTCCAAATATAAATGTGCAAAACAACATTAACTCTTCTCTCAGATGTAACTTATACGGAACTATAACCAAATATACATATCTAAACAAAGAAATTGTTTAATCACCATCTTTGAACTTAACCTTACCAGTATCCATTTGCCAGACGTACACAGACCCATCTGAACATCCTACCACCAGATAGTCGTCGGAAGGCCTCCATTTTATTACTTGAATAGGGAAAAGGTGACGGGAGGCCAGCATGATGCATTTTTTCTCCCGCAGACTCAGAAGACCTACTGAGTGATCACTGGCTACAGAGCAAATACAGTGCTGGACTCTTGCCTAAGAAAAGAAGAAAAAAACAAAAGAGAAGAAGTCTTAATCATAATGCAGAGAGTTTGCATTTAATAACCTCTTCTTTGCTGGACCAAGCGTGGTGATCAACAACCTGGTTTATAATCATAACCAGACACATAACTCTATCGCTAAACTCACTGAGGTCACTAGAAACAGATTTTTCACTGACAGAAATTCTCTTGAATCCAACCTCTTGCACATCATAAAGAGCAAACAGCTTTTAGAACCTGTTTTGTTGAGCAAAAAAGAGAAACCACGGTTTTCAAGTAATTTTGTTCATTAAATTCTACCTACTCATCCAAGTTACGAAAGACAAAATGACAAAATTACCTTTAAAACCTAAAGGCTAACTGGAGGGGAACGCTGGCCTATCACATGCGCAACACCTTCAGGGGAAGGACTGCTTCCACATCGTGGAAATCCTCTCCCACTGTTAATGCTACACATTCATAAAATGCCAAGCATCTCCTTAGCTAGCTAGGTTTTAATATCCAGTTTTCCCACTATTTGTAATTCTTTACGTAGCTAAAACTTGATGCAAACAAAACCAAGATTAAGAGAACAATTAAACCCTTTTTAAGTGCCTGCAGGAGTTACGCATTGGGCCAGTGCTAACCCTTCAGTATTTCATATTGCAGTCACGTTCTCAAGAAGGATTTGAGGAGCTGTGCCGTTTACGAAAAGTGTGAGACAGGTTATCAGATGTATTATGTAAAACTTACACTACAGTTTTCTGGTGGAACTAGAAGCTGTGTAATTTCTCCACCATGTACACAGAAGATATGTTTCATCTCTCCAGAAAATATATCCCATATGATGACTGAGAAATCCACACCACCTGAGATCAAATACCTTTGATCATAACGAGAAGAAACCTGATGAGGATACAGTAAACATGTAATTTTGTTTCGATGGCCTCGGAGAGTCCGGTGAGGTGGCCAGCCTGAGAAATTGGGTAAGGGGCGAAAGAGGAAAAGAAAAGGAAAAAAAGAGAGACAAAAAACATAATTCAATAGAACAGTTAACAATCCAAAATGCTGTTCTTGATTAAATACAGACATACTGCAATTTTTGAAAGAAGTTCTTATAGAATTAACCTTGTCTTTTTTAAAATGCTCATAATTTTTTTTTAATGGCCATGGACTGAAAGATTCCTTTTGTCTTGCTGTGCGATCTCACTTTTAAGTAATTCAGTTGTATTAAAACATCCTCTTCCCCTCAAAAAAATTAAAAAGGCCACAAAGATGTGAAAAAAGTAAACCCCCTTCCCCACCAAACATGAATTTATCCAAGGTTCTAACCAAAAGGACTGGTACCAGGAAGACTGCACAATCTTACTCCACACTGGCCACACCAGCAGCATGACGTCTGCAGCGTTATCTGTTTGGTGCTGGTGCAGAACAGGTTAATGACAGCAAATTTAAATTTACAAAGGAAAATAATTTTTGTGAACACAGAGCAAGAATGGCAAGTGTCCTATCTCCTGAGATCAAACACGTTAGTCAAAAGCTTAGAATGAGAATGATTTAACTACTGCAAAAGATGCTTGGAAAAACTGTCTTTTTAGATGGCAAATTTGACAAAACGGGCCCAATAAATTAAATACCAGAATCAAGGATTCTATGCAATTCCTGTGTGATATAGTTGAACTTTTTTCCCCTCCATGTCATTATGCTTTCTAGCAAGCACAGCAAACCTGACGTAGAATACACACAAGCACTTCTGTATTTTTACGAGGGCAAGAATCACCAACGCTTATTTGCAGAATAATATATCAACTTTGAGGCAATCCAACTTCACATTAAGAACACATCATTTTTGTATAAAGTTATAGAAAGTAAAACAGTTATATAAAAGGAAACAGTACAACCAACAGCCTTGTACATAACTGACAAGCTCCCAGGTGTATTCACAGAAAAATATTTACATGTCTTTTTTGTTTATCAGCATTTGTAAAAAATCAAAACCCAAATATTTGTTCTGCAGCTACAATCATAAAAGTATTAAAACAACATTATCTGGAACCAAAACGTGCAATACTCATTTAACTACACAACACACAGAGGAATTCTCTTTTAGATGTGTGATTTTCCCAAGAAGATCTTTGCAGGCATGCCAATGCCCCAGCTGAACAATTCCGGACAAGAGACAGATGTGTCCTGCCGTATCTTTGCTACTGCATCTCAAAAACCCAGGAGAAATATCCAAGGCTTTCCAGCGAAGGGACCCCCCCAAAACTGATGCAAGCTGGCCACGGTTAATTCACCACTTAGGTTTCTCATTATGTAATAGAACATCAGCATCGTTAAGAACATGGTCATATGATTGCGACCTGTAAAGCGACTTAGTTTCACGAAGCGAGCGTTATTTCTTACTTCAGTCTACCTCGCGACAAGCACACGCTGCAATCCAACCGTGCTTTTTCCAAAGCTTATTTGCGTACCTCTCCTTAGCATATGCTCTCCTTGCAGCAGCTGAACTATAGCTGTTTGTGTTGCTGGCACAATAACAATGCTTCCGTCTTCACGGCCACAGACCAAACGCCCGTGTGCTGGAATATATACGCTGGCTGTAACTTTAAGGGGTTCGTTGAGGTTTGGTATTAGGCTCAGTTGGTCTATAATCCCAGCAGGGCGAGGAGTAAGTTTATCAAAAGCTTCCTGGAGGGATACTGAAGTTGTTGTTTGCAGTCCTGTTTAAAAAAAGAAGAAAAAGAAAGAGAGGGGTGAGAGCGGAAGGATGATTTTAAAAAGACAATAATTTAAAAAAGAAATTAAAGGAGGGAAATCAGGAATGCTTTGCTGAGAAGATTCCAAAGTTTAAATACACCACATTACAACGCTTTGAACAAAGTAAAAGGTACACACCAGAGATGAACTTACTGACTATGCGAGTGAAGCTAGAGCAACACATGGAAACCATGTATGTGAGAACTGGAAAAGCGTATGATTTAGCTACAAGAGAAAGTTACACAGACAGACAGCAAGACAGCTAGTATTTGGAAAAAAAAGCAGTTAAAACTTAATACCTGAAAAATATTCAGACTAAAAGAAAATCTTGATCATATATGAAAAAATTAAGTTACTATAACTCTTAGAAGAAGCTAACAATTAAAAAAAGATAACTTTATGGATTTGTAGGAAAAGCAGCAGTGCTTTATCCAGTGACAAAACATGTAACGAAGACTAGAGATGCCCATTAAAAGCCTTGGGAACCAGACTGTTAATTAGGTATACCTTTTGCACTACCTTGTTGCTCTAGAGTATCAGGCACGCTCCAAATACACAGTCTCCCCGAAGAGTCTCCTTGGATTAACAGTTTATAGGAAAACTCCCTATGTCCATAGAAGAATCGAGTAACTGGAGGACATATTAGCAGCTGTTAAGAAAAATAAATTAACAACTTCAGAACACATGCAAGCCACGTACTAACCTCATAACGTACCTGCCCCACAAAATCCACTGTTCCTTTTAAAAGCAGGACAAAATGTAGCTACTTTATGCTTTTTCTTTCTTACAGGAGAAAGAACATGGCAATACAAATCAGAAAAAACTGTGGTTACTTACAAAAGAAGTCACAAGTTTAGGGGAGAGGAAAAAAAAGATTTTCCGTTTCTTTGGTTTTGTTCTAAATATATTCATATTTAGACTATTTTATATATGTGTGTGTGCATTCTAAAATTGTTAGCGTTCTAACTGCAATGGTGAGCTGAAGAGACGCTACTCAGTAAGGAACATGGTCCACAACAGAAGCAAAAGAGTTAATGTTGATTGACAACATAAAGAAAAATAAAACAAATACATAAATGTTTCAATGTCCAAATTTGGCAACAGATTACTTGGTTAAGATTAAAAAACCAGGATTCCTACAATAGACTTGTAATAGCAGCATTTGTAAATCAGACAGCTATTTATACCTAGCGGTATAGGTACTAGTACTAGATACATCATTCAACAGTCTTGGATATGGTCACAGCACAATCTAAAAATGAAGCATAGCTCAAAGCTGGATTTCCTTTACTTTGCAAGGGTTTAAGCTTTCAAATTCAAAGTTGTGATCCTAAACGCTCTTGCTCAGTTATTGCCTAACCATCGTGCACATCACAACTTGACCTCTGCTTCTCCAGGCACTGAGGAATGACAAACTTAGTATGTAGGAACTGAAGATTCACTTGAGCAGAGACCAGTCTCTGCATTTATTTGAAAACCAACAAGAACCAAATCAAACCGCAGAGATGCTGTGCCTGTTATCCTCCTAAATGTCTACTTTTTCTAGGAAAAGAAGAAATCCTAAAGGTCTGCATTGAAAAAGAAGGACTGGTCACGGTGTATGCACATTTCAACTCTCTAAAAGAGAAATGCAGTCCATAAAAGAAACCCAAAGCAATATATTTTACCTGTTTATCTGCTCTGTCCAACACACTGTACAATAAAGGCGGAATTAAATTTTCTACTGCTTTCCCCACATCTCTGCGAAATGAATCACTAGCTGGTAGACAGCTGGGTTTAAAACAAAGAGAAAAGGAGTAACATTCCTTAAAATACTAGAGTGATTACTACATCACAAGCTAACTAAATAATACCAAGCAAAAACCACCCCCAAGCCCTTAAATGTCACATTTTTCAATTGTTAATACAGCATGTAGCAGATCATTACTCTAATTTTAATCTATAGGGTATGCTTCGTTAATTAGTAACTGCTCCAAATGTGTCCAGCTCAGTTTCCCCACACATTCAGAACTGAGAATGAAGGAAGCCTGGCTTTAGGCCTGCTTTGGCCTTCAACACCTTTGGCCTCAGACTCAGGGCCAAACCACACCAAACCCAAGGATTCCTCCGGCAGATCACCAGATAGATCTGTTTGCAGCCTTATGCTCTGATCACCTAAGAGGAGGAGAAAGGACTTCTTGCTCGATTTATGTCAGAATATTCAAGGATCTCCAAGATAAAACTGTATCAAAGAGATATTTGCATGTCATGAAGATGTCAGAAGTTTTTTTTCTACTTTTGTCATTCTACATTTAACCTCTTTGACACCTAATTTTACATTAAGTTTACAGTTTCACATTTACATGCACAAACTTAGCTGTTCGTGCCTTCCCTTAATGGGCTGAGAGAGTACTGTTACAATAACGCGATCACATCATTTACATTCTACTCCACATAGCAAAATCTTCTTTCTTCCTTGTCTTGACCAGGTTAAGGGAATGTGTAAATTTTATTTTAATTTATGACACTTGTTCAACAGCAAAACACACCTCTTCCTATCACACAGCTCCATTAGGAAGTGATAAAGAGTGAGTGTAACACCAGAAAATAGCAAAGCAATCTTGGTTGAGGCAATCTAAATTACCGAGCACTGCTTCAACACAATGCATTTAGGGGACACACACTTTAAAGTATGGTCCTGCAATATTTGTTTCTGCAACATCCATATGATTTTGAAACAAAATAAAAGCCAAAGATACTCAATATTTCTTTGAAGATGCTCATGCTTATCTCAAAAAATAAAGAAATTAAAGTATTTCACTGCTGACTACCTGGCTGGCAATTTATATATGAAACTTTGTCCATCTTCCGTCCACACAATCACTTTGTCAGCTGACACAAAGTCGCCACCGGTCCAGGTCTGATCATTTTCACTAGGGACCGAACATAAGAGGGAATAATCTCCAGCATCAAAAACCTGAAAAGAAACAGAAAAGTCTGTTGTCATTAACCAATTACAGATTAAAATGCCCAGACTGCAGCTAATTTTGGTTTCAATATAGCCACATTAAAGGGACTTAAGACTTGATCTGAATGCCTTACTGGCAATGTAATTAAATCAGCTTTCACAGTGAAAAGCAGTCAGGTGGTGTTGAGCTAGCTTTCCTTACCCGCCAGTATTTGGAACACACTACCAACAACGACCGCTGAGTAAACGCACAGAAAGAAATGCTTTGACAGTTTTGACAGTAAATAGGTTTTGACTCCTCTTCAAACACTGGTGTCGTATCCTAAAAAACAAACAAAACCAGCACTAAGTTAACTGCATTTTATTTAAAATTATAAACCTGAGATTAAATAGAGCACTATTACCTGCTGTAATAACAACATCTTCACAAAAGGCATTGCTTGATGCTTTTAAATTTGCTTGAGTCATGAGCTTGTCAATGGTTCTGTAAATTTTAACTGAAATAAACACTTATGTTTTATTTTGATACTCCTATGAAAGCTCTTCACTTTCATAAAGCCAGCCTTATTTTCTCTGTCCCATCTCGATTAATCAGCACAGCCAGGCAATTAAGGCAGAAATGGGGACTCAGATGTCCTAGACCACAACTCCTGACTCTGTTGCTGATCTCTGTGGCAAGACAGTATCTCACTGAAAAGTTTTTTCCTCATCTTCAAGCTGAGGAAGAAGCATTCTGTCCCACACAGAAAGCATTTAAGTGCTCAGTGTGACAGCAACCAGCGCCTGAAACCGAGCGCCTCTACACAGAACACCACACAGATGGATATCAGGTAACAAGAAAATACGCAGCTGATTTTTTTCTTGCTCAAATTGAACTTCGGAGCGTGACAGAGACCATGTGAAGGAAAAGGGACCATGCTGTTTCCTAAGATGCCAGATGGCCAACTTCTAAGGAAAAAAACAAACACTTGTAGCAGCTCTTATTCTATTATTCCTCATAAGAAGATCTGCAAGAGCATGTGGTATCCTCTTCTGTCACTTAAGTCTAACAAATTCCCCAGCTGGACAGATTAGCGGTGCCCATTTAGTATCATCACTGTCAATGAATTACCTTGCAGCCAGACAGTCAGCTGAAACTAAGCAGATTCAGCTCACATTCCAGTCCTTCAGGGTTCCCCATATCCCAAATGGGCTAGACTGCGATAAGCTCCTGTTTAGTTGGGTCTTTGCATTTCTTACTTTCCTAACAGCCAACACTCTTCACTGCTCACTGCTGCTTTACTTTTTTTTTTTTTTAACTGTTAAATGTTAGCTAAACCATTACTAGCTGTGTGACAAGGGTTTCCAGAAAATGCTTTGAGAGCAAACATAATTTCATCAAGTTTGAAACTATAAAACAAAAACCCATGAATATCACCTCTGTCCCCTGATGGGGTCAAAAGCAAGGAATTCCATTACACTGCTCTTCCAAGCTAATGCAAACTGTGCTGCTTTTGCATTGTAAATATCCTGGAAATAAACTAGTTAAGCAAAACCCAGTTCATTTCTATATCATAAGGTTATTTTTCCACAGTTGCTAAACATCTGTAGGAAGGTGTCTCTTTTACAGGAGGTTTCTGCGAGTAGCTAATCTGCCAGAGGTCTATGAGACTTGGAGCAAATCTCCTTGAAGACATTTACTCATTAGTACACAGGAAGGCAGAACTGCCAAACAACAGAGAGCTATAGATAATCCCCAATAATGAATATTCCTAAAAAACTGTATTCTCTGCTCAGCAAGCCCTTCAGGCATCTTCACATCTCACTTATCTTTTCCAAAGAAAATTCTACATTTAATAATAAAATTTAGTACTAAATAAAA